TCCCTCTGCTACTCTGGGAATTAATATATTTAAATACCAGAAGGGATTCTATTTATATCAGAGGTAAAAAAAACCAATGCCTATTGGCACCTGTAAGGTCATATGAATGAGTGGAAAGCCCAGACAAAAAAATATTGGAGTGTGGTGACCTAGAGAATGCATCCTCTATCAAAAAGAAATTTGGGGCATCTGAGTGGCTCAGTCGGTTAAGCATCTGACTTCAGCTCAGGTCATGGTCTCATGACTCGTGAGTTTGAGAACCATGTCAGGCTCTGTGCTGACTTGGAGCCTGGAGTCTGCTTTGGATCCTTTTTTTGCCCTTCTCCCACTCATGTTCTGACTTTTTCTCTCACAAATAAATAAACATTTTAAAAATTAAAAAAAAAGAAATTCAAATTTAAAAATTAGATGGGGGTGACTGGGTGGCTCAGTCAGTTAAGCATCCTACTCTTGATTTTTGCTCAGGTCATGATCTCATGGTTCAGATCAAGCCCCATGTTGGGCTCTGTGCTGACAGTGTGGAGCCTGCTTAAGATTCTCTCTCTCTGCCCCTCCTCCACTGGTGCACAAGTTAACACACTCTGTCTCCCAAAATAAATAACTAAACATTAAAAAAAGTTAAAAAATAAAAATTAGATGAATGGTGTGTTGGCCAAAGTATTCTCAGATTTCACCTGAGTGCCTCCTGTTTGCAATCCCTGGGTCAGCATATTTCTGAGAGTCACAGACATTAAATTATTTGCCCCGAACCTACAGCCAATCTATAGAAATATGTACAATGAAGATATTAAATTCCAGAAGCAATTTACTGGCTTACCTGACAATATAACCTGATTCAAATGCCGAGGGGTCCAAGTTTGTTTTCCATTCAAGTGGTTCTGCAAAAACATATTTTGCCTCCTGGGGATATTTGTAGATAAAGCTCTCCACAAACATCATAATTTCTTCCAATATCGCTTCATTTAGAGGAGTAATTTCCAAGGTTCTGGTCCCATATCCAGCAGCGGTCCACTGTGCCGATTTGGTCAGCGCCACACCCATGGGATCCGTCAATGCTCAGACCAGAGCTTAGCATACCCGCTGCAGAGTAGAAAGAGTTAGACACAGAGGACCACAGCCACCTTGTCCCTGGAACATTTTCACTTTCAAGCCATCCAACCCACATTCTGCTTCTTAATCTTAGAGGCTTATTTTTTAATTATCAAATGACACTTTAATGCAATAAAATAGTTCATTTTCACTGAACCAGCTCTCTGTAAAACTGACTAGTACTTGGATTTTCCCATATCTGTCTGCCCTGAGGTAAATAACTTCCTCACTTCCCTGGGCCAAAGATAGAAAGTTCAAGTAACTGGAAACAAGAAAACAGAAAAAGAAAAAAACTCCGAGTGGAACGAAGACCTGGAGGAGGTGGGCTTCGTGGCCTTTGGGTCCCAGGTCTGCTGGAGCTGGAGGTGGAGCGAGCAACGTTCTTCTGAGCTGGGCTGCTCATAGTTTAGAACCATGATATTAAACTAAACTGTTACTCTTTTTTTTTTTTTTAATTTTTTAACGTTTTAGTTTTTTGAGAGACAGAAAGCAAGCAGGAGAGGGCCAGAGAGAGAGGGAGACACAGAATCCAAAGCAGGCTCCAGGCTCTGAGCTGTCACACAGAGCCTGACACTGGGCTTGAACCCAGGAACCATGAGATCATGACCTGAGCTGAAGTCAGACGCTCAACCGACTGAGCCACCCAGGCACCCCCTGACTTTCTTTTAAAAGGATAACATTATGTGTAACATTAAATAAGAGCCAAGTTAGAAAGCAAGTTCTGACACTAACTGTGAACATTCAAGGCTTTGTTTTACAGACAGTCCATACTTGTTTGTTTTCTCATAAAAGTGGTCATTAACGCCTTCTTTCCAGAATATTAGTATGATTATAAAGTTAAATATAAAATGTAATTAGCTTCCCCCCTCCCCATAATTATTACTAACCTCAGAAGAGGTTTCAGTAAAAACCAAGACTCTACAGAAATGACTTGGAGATTCTGGGTTTTGCACTGTATTAAATCTTGAAATTCCATAACAGGACATCCAGATCAGTGGCTCTCAATGAGGCTGTGCTCATAAGACAGAAGTAGTATAAAAGACACTTCATTATTGAAATGATAGGAAGGGGACATCACTGGCATTTAGTGATGAGGACTGAGAACGTCCGATGTCCTGCAATATGCATGACTGTCCCCAGAAGGAAGAATTACGCCATAATCTCCAGGCATCTGGTAGGTGAAAAACTTTAGGTAAGTAAAACCTGCACTCAGCATCTATTGCCACTTTACAAATAATCATACTGTATTTTTTTTCACAGTTTTAAAATATATTGAATCATTCAGGATTGCAACTATCATATAAATCAAAGGAAGACTGAATATACTTTGTTTTATATGAAATTTACTCATTTTATATGTAAGTTCACCAGCATTTTGGAAAATCATGCTGTTTATGGACATGCTGGTCACACATTTTAAGTTTCAATGATGGGTTTCTATCAGCCTGTATTTGGCACATTCACAGTATGTAATTCTATGGAAGGCTGGAGCATCTGACCATGTCATTATGTATTCTAGTGCAGTGGTACCTGAGCATTTACATGCTGACGTTTTATTACAATTTTTTACCTTTTAATTTTCCTTTATTTTACAGTTAGAGCATGATCAATATTTAAAACTATGCACATATGTAAAATTACCATCTAAGATTTTGATTTTGGAATATAGCAAGGCATTACAAAATATGTTATAAGAAAACAATAGTTTTCAGGGCTGAGAACGTATATGTGTATATAGAAATATGTATATATGTATATATTTTTATATATGTATATGTAATTGCTAGTGTAATAAAATGTATGCAGTTTGGGTACAAATCTGTGTGTTTATTTTAATATTCCAGTGGTTTGTTTCTATTGCTAGATTCCAAACATAGAAGCATTTACTGATGCTTATAACTAATGCTGTTGAGTTTCCCAATATTATGAGAGTAAGAGCAAACTAAAAAGAGGTGCAGATAGCTTTACCTTATACAGAAAGGCTTAAGTGCCCAGTGCTATTTGTTTTTTAATATTAAGTACACCACTTGTTTTGGGAGTCTTATCAAGCTGTGTATCAGTTCCTTCTTGTACCTTATTAAAGAAAAGTATAAACGTTCATAGATTACATGAGACTGTGGCAGTCCACACCCTATACAGGAACTTGCCGAAGACACTTTAAAAAGAGGTAAGAAATGCAAAAAGGGCTTCTTTTCATCATGATAAATTTTTACAGAAAGGTAAGTATAACATTTATTTGAATCTCCTCAAATTGTTTTTCTAAATCTGGTAAACCAGGAGCTGCGAAAATGAGCAGCCTTTATTTGAGAAGGCTGGTTGGCAGAAGGTCTAAGAAAATCTCTGAAGAGGGGGACGAGGACAATCCAAGAGACAAATAAAATATTGTTGGTGGGGGGGGAGTGGAATGAAATCTCCAACAAGACAAGACAGGTATAAAAAAGCAAAAAAAAAAAAGTACTTTGCGGGCTTGGCTGAATACATTAAAAAAGCAAACAGGGTAATCTGATGTTTTTCCATCACAACTCTAAGAAATTTCTGATGGCTTAATTTACCAAGAGAACCAAAGCTACAACATTTATTCCACTAATCCAGAGGTGTTAAAAAATGGTCAGTGTAAGTCAGGTAAAAATACAAAACACGTTTTTCCCCCCAAACAAGCTGTTCCCCAGTTTCTACCCACTGCCATTCCAGTTCTTTTGGCCTAAGAACCCCGGTTACAACGAATACATGTGAATACATAGTACATATTTTTGCATTAAGGTAAGATTTTTTTTTTAAGTTTAACGATTAGAAGGAAAAAAGTTTTTGTGCATGTGTTTGCATAAATTGAGAATCACATATTCATTTTCTCTACTAATGTTACTCATTTTCTCCACTAATCAAATTGATATAATACAATTTGTTTTTCTTTGTTAAGGGTTAGTTGCAGGCTTCTTGTTATTAATAAAATGAAACACGTCCGCGAATAATTTCTGTAACACTTGAGCAGAAGCAAACCCGAATTCTCTATGAAGCTAAGGGAACTGTAAACATCTGGGATCTAGAAATGTGTCTGGTAAGGTCAACTGGGAGTCTGTGCACACACTGGCATTCCAAAAATGATGAAGCTTCAGGAAAATTAAAATTTCAGAGGACTGATATGAACAGGGCCCTGAATCAACACGCTCAAACCCTGTGTGAAAACACGCGAGGATGACACCAACCAGTTACTGTGACAAGCATTAGAGTTGAAGGCTAAGTGTCTCGGCTGAGGCGGTGGTGGAGGCAGGCAGCGAAGGCTGTACAGCGAGAAGGGAGCAGAGCTGAACCGGCGGAAGGGAAAGGCGAAGAGGGAAAGAGACGCAGGCAGGCGGCTGGAGAAACAGAACGGATAACAGGAGATGTGGTCGCGGCAGGATGGGGAGGGGGTGGGGTTTGGGGGGCTCGGGGGAGAAGAAGGTGGCCGGGCAGGGGCATGGTGTACACAGGGAGGCAGGGGCTAAATGGGCGGGTGGAAGAGAGGAGAGATCGGGTCTCAGTTCCGAGGGGAGGAAGGAAAGAGGCGAGACAGACGGAGCGGGGCCCGAGAAAGACCCCCATTTCTCGAACCACGCGGAAGGCTGTAAGGACCCCAGCGCGGGGCGAGCGCGAGCTGCAGGACCCGGGCCGCAGGGGCGGCGGCGAGTCCCCGGCGGCCGCCCTGCGCCCACCGACCGCACTCACCTGCAGCGCCCCAGCTCCGCGCCCGCACTGCGCCCTGCGCCCCGCGCCCCGCGCCGCTCGCCGCGCGCCCGCCTGTTGCTAGGACGCCAGGTAAACACCCGGCGCCCGGCGCCCGCGCAGAGCGTCGCCGCCCCGCGGGTAAAGCCCCGAGCCCGCCCTCCGCGCCGCGGCTGCCGTGCGGTCGCGCTCGGAGCCCGCCCAGACCGCAAGCCCCGAGCCCCCGGCGGCCCGGATGACGCCCGGCCGCCCGCGGTTCCACGGACGCCTGCAACCGCTGCCCCCTGCTCGTCCCCTCCCTGGAAACGGTGTCATTCGACCTCCTCCTTCCTGGAGGACTCGTCCCGAATCACTCCACCAGGTGGGAAACGTTTACCTTAATGAAGGCAACCAGCAGTTAGGGGTTTGAGCAGCAAATCAACAATATGACAGGAAGCAAATAGAAAATGGTCGTTAGAAACACCGTTTTCGGGGTCTCCATAGGCTTCTGGATAGATGTTCTGTAGAATTCCATAAGGTACTCTATGCACCTTAAATCTTCACGGAGTTCTCAAAATAGCACAGGGCCTCTTTGGATCTTTGAGGCCTGAATGTGCTTCCCAAAAAAGCAAATGTGGGGGAATACGTTAATACTCACTAGAAAAGCAGAAGCTGCTCGGCAGTGGTCTAATTCCGAGAATTGGAATGAAATGAGAGCATTTCCCCATATTTTTAAATGTCTTTTACCTTCTACCAAGATGGCCTTACCCCCACCTGTAGATACTTCTACCAACAAGAGTCCCAGCTCTGAAAAACCAGCAGGGGCTAAAGGAGTAGAAGAAGGAAAATATTGGGGGAAGAAATAATGAGAGAGAGAAAGAACAGTATGCAGTCTTTGGGGGACGACGTTTTAGGGACCGAATTTAGATACTTTAGGGTGGTGGAGTGTTTAGGGACTAGAACTAAATTCTGTCCCTAAAGTCAAAGACGCCCATATGTGATGATGTTAGGGTATTACATCTCAGGATACTACATTGTCCTGGCTTAAAAGCAGAGCCTTTCTGCAGACACACAGAAGTGGGATAGATTAGGCCTTCCTTGATGGGGTTCTTTTCCTCCTTTTTTGAAAGTATAAAAGTTGTTAGAAGTGGAATCATTTTTGCCTAAAGTAGCCTCTACCCTCCAGAGAAGCTTGGGCTTGCAGTGTGTCAAAAGCGAAGAATATATATTAATTAGATACATAATCTGAAGGATGCCCTTTGAAAAATGAACAGATGACACTGCAGAATGCGCAGGTCACAAATTGGTGAGGATCAGGGGCGCCTGGGTGGCTTAGTCGGTTAAGCGTCCGACTTTTCGCTTAGGTCATGATCTCATGGTTTGTGGGTTCGAGCCCCGCGTCGGGCTCTGTGCTGACTGCCAGCTCAGAGCCTGGAGCCTGTTTCAGAGTCTGTGACTCCCTCTCTCTCTGACCCTCCCCTGCTCACGCTGTCTCTCTCTCTCTCAGAAATAAATAAAACATTAAAAAGACAAAAACAAATTGGTGAGGATCAGAATCCACCCTGCAGAGGTGTGCTCCAACAGTCCTGGAGCAGGGAAGTTTCCTTGGATACTTTGTGTCACTTGCACATTTTAATCAGCTGTCTAATGTGAGAGAGCATAGTGAGCCCAACATAGAAACTGGCCAGAGATCTACACATTTGGGACGCTTGGCCTTGGTTTGCAAAGCTGGAAAAAGCCAGTGCCCACCAAGATCTGAGTAGCTGTGTCCTCATTTGCTAAATTCATGGCCAGTGTCAGAATCTACCATGGTTTAATCTGACGGCAAAATGTGAGTTTATTAACCCTGACATCATCTAAGGAAAAAAAAAATGCGTGTAAAAATATGTAAATGTGTAGAATTCCCAGCTAGCTTCTTCTAATTTTTCCTTGCCATGTTGGGGCACTAACTTGGCTGACCTTCTGCTCTCAGGTTAAAGGACTACTTCTCAGAGAGTGCTGACCACACAAACTGAGGAAGCCTCATGGTAGGGTTTGTCTTGACTAATCTGTCTTACTGCCTGTTTGCTACCTCCACAGTAAACTCCATGAAATAGGGACCTCTCTGTCTCCTTCAAGTCTGTGTCTTTAAGATCTGGAAGAGTAACTGACACATGGGAAGAGTAAAACTGATGAGTCACCTGGCATTCTTCATTGAGGCACCAGAAGGGTGAAGCTCACATTTCCTTGGACACAGTTGATAGAACCAGTTAGATGATTCTAAGTGGCTGTGTTTGAGAAGAGAGGCTTCCACACTGAGAGCACACACAGGAGGCTGCTGTAGCAGAGGCCCATCCCAGCACTGCCTTCAGCTAGAGTGGGGACATGTGACCCAGTTCTGTCCAATGGAACTTTACAGAAAGTCTGCTAAGGACTTCTGGGAAAGACTTGAGACTTATGGGGCCCCTCCTCCACAACCTTCTGTCAGCTCAATATGCCCCCTGTGAAACCAGCCACCTGGTCAGGCCAGCTCTGATCCTCTAGTGCATTGTAAAGTTCTGGCAGATTCTGTGCACTGCCCCAACAAGGTACCACAGATTGGGTGGCTTAAACCACAGACATTTCTTGTCTCACAGCTTTGGAGGCTAGAAGTCCAAAATCAAGGTGTCAGTAGGATTGGTTCCTCCAGAGGGCTGTGAAGGAAGGATTTATCCCAGGCTTTTCTCCTGGGATGGCCTTCTTCATGTCCACATGACGTTCTCCCTGTACATCTGTCTCTGTATGCAAATGTTATTTTTTTTTCTAAGGATACCAGTCATATTGGATTAGGATCCACTCTAATGAACTCATTCTAACTTGATTAACTTTGTAAAGAGCCTATCTTCTTTAAGGACATATTCGGACTTCAACATATGACTTTTAGGGAGGATGCAATTGAACCCACAATACTATGTAAACAAAAAAGTCAGAAGGTCTCAGAGGCCCATTCACCTGTGTTAAGAGTGGGGCCAGCTGGTGTGAAGCAGCCAAGAGAGGCACTTACAGACCAGAACCAGGAGAAGGTGATAGGCAAGGTTGGTCTGAGGGTCCAATACCTCACTCAGGAAAGGACCTATAGGCTTGTAGGAAAGTACAGTTGCATCTATTGAACAGTGATGGGGTTAAGTCTCATTAAGGAAAAAGATTGCCTCTCAGTGCAAATTTTCAGGATATTTCAACAGAAATTCTGATGATAGAAAATCGCATGAAGACTGATTAAGTTCTAAGGACTCAACTTTGCTAGATCCTACCTTCCATTATACATAATGACCAACAATCAAAGCTGCCTTCCTGTGAACAAAGATATTTCTCAGTGATACACTGCTGACCAAGGACCATGGTCTGGAAATGAAATGGCTCCTCCTCCTCAGATTCGAACCTCCTAGACCTTCATTTATTCCATAAATGCTTTTTTAAAAATATCAACAAGTGCCAGACACCCTGTTGGCAAAAATTGGTTATCTAATTTGGGTACTGGCAAAAAAAAAAAAAAAAAAGTGTCCATTAAACTCTATGCAAAATCTCTGGAAGAGAAGGAAGGCCAGTAGCATGGAGCACAGTAAGCAGAAAGTGGGGAGAAGAGGTGAAGAGGTGGGCGAGATTCCATAAAGCAGGGGTTAAAGCCATGATAAAGAATCAGATTTTATTCCAAGAGGAAATGAACAATTTTGGAGGATTTTTAAGCAGGGTGTGACATGATCTGATTTGTGTTGTTAGCCATTCTGACTGTGTTGTGGAAGTAGGCTATTAAGGTATTCACTATTAAGTGAAGTAAGGAGACTATTAATAAGCCACGTTGGGTCAAGTTCCCCAGGAAGTAGACTCCAAGATGGAGAAATGCATGTGAGCGGTTTACTTCGGAATATCCCCTTGAAATGAAGGCAATGGAATTGAATGAGGCTAGCTGAATTACTATGCAGTGATGACTGCTTCATGGAAAGCTCTAGAACTGGGATGGCCCTGCAGAGTTTTTGCATATTGAGGCAAGAGGGCTGGACCTCTGTATTCTTATGTCAACTCATCAGCACTGGCCAATCACTGGATACAGGCTGTCCCCAGGAGAAAGGCATGGCTTTCAGCCCTTAAGTTGAGTGCTTTCTGCTACAAACACTCCCCAGCAGGTGAAGACAAGTGTGCTTCAGTCCTGGAACACCCACAACAGTCCACCCCATGCACAGGCCAGATTTGCTCATGTCATGCAGTACAGCTGGGAGCAGCTTCTCCAGAATTCTGGTGGGCTTTTCTTCCTAGGGAAACTTAACAAGAGAAAGATATGAGATAAAAATGTGGCCCCTTGCTGTGCAGCTGGTCTCACAGCCACAACTGATACTCACCATCTCTTTTCTCCTCTGTCTATTCCAGTAGCACCCCTCACTCTTCAGTAGCACCTTTGCTGATCTAGATAGCTTATCTGGTGGGATGATCGTGGCCCTCTCTGCCAAGGGATCTGAGCCACTGGCATCAGCCCCTCTCAAATAGTGGCTATTTTATTTGTGCCTTTACAATCAAAATTGGGCAAGTAAGTACCAAATAGTCTACAGATGGACCACCCAAGTTCCAAACATATCCTTCCCTTACCTTACAGTAACACTATCTCTGGGTCAGTGTCTCTGACAGGATCATGACTCCTTTACTTGCCTGTTGGCCTCTTGCACAGAGAGCCCAAAGTCATAAAGTTACCACAGGTGAAAGTTGAATGTCCCTTGCTGGAATGCCTCCCCTCTAGGAACCAGAATTTCTAAATGCACGCAGCCCAGATTTGCAGTGAGAGGAAGTACAAATTCCCCCCGAGTGATGCCTAAAACAAGTCCACTTCTACCTCCACCTCTTAATTCTAGAATCCATGTATTTGACCTTTATGGGTCACAGCTCCATATAATGGCTATTGTTTTAGGGTATACACTTCAGTATGGAGGATGGTACCCCATCCTTACAGGGTATCACCTCCAAGCTGGCACTACAGCTGTGCCTTCAAAAGGCCACTTAATTGCTCTGTTAGATAGTAGTCCAAAGCCACTTTGGAGAGTATATGTGCCCCTTCACTGAAGTATTGAGACCGGATGACCGTCTCTGAAAAGAGAGATATATATAGCAGCAGGTGGCAGGGATGGAGGCTGTGTGTGGACCCAGCAAAATGAGTTCCTTCTTGCTGATGCTAAGTGTCTAGTCTGCTAACAGCAGGGGCTGACACTAAACTTTTTTTTCAATGTTTATTTATTTTTGAGAGAGAGAGAATGTTGCGCGAATGCGCGTGAGTAGGGGAGGGGCAGAGAGAGAGGGAGACACAGAATCTGAAGTAAGCTCCAAGCTCTGAGCTGTCAACACAGACCCCAGAGACTGATGCAAGGCTCAAACTCATGGACCCATGAGATCATGACCTGAGCCAAAGTTGATCACTCAACCAGCTGAACCACCCAGGTGCCGTGACACTAAAGTTTTAATATGGCATGTTCTATGGGAGACTAACCAGGCCTTGGGGGCAGGTCAGTTACATTGGGTTGCTCCCATTTCAGAGGTGGCAAAAAGCTTCCTCCTTACTGGGACTGATGCATATTCCAAATAGAGATTTACCTTTACTGTCCACAGTACATCTTCCGGCACCACCATCAAGATGCCGCATTCAGGGGCGCCTAGGTGACTCGCTTAAGCATCCTACTCTTGATTTGGCTCAGGTCATGATCTCATGGTTTGGTGAGATTGAGCCCCACATCGGTCTCTGTGCTGAGAGTGCAGAGCCTGCTTGGGATTCTCTCTCTCTGTCTCTCTTTCTCCCTTCCCCGCTTGTGCACACTTTCTTCTCTTTCAAAAAAAAAAAGAGAACTTTTACTTAAACATTTTTTTTAAATACCTCATTCATCAATATGGCATTCCACACAACATTGCCACAGAACAAGAGATCATTTTAGAGCAACAGAGAAGGAATAATAAGTTTATCACTATTGGAGCCACTGATCTTACCATGAACTACATCACCCAAAGGCAGCCATCCTGATAGGGTAGTGGAATGACTTGTTGACATTCCAGCTAGGGTGCTGGTATGACACAGCACCCTGTGGGGTTGGGTCTCCATCCTCCAAGATGTGGTTTATGCACTAAGTGAACAGTTGACGTGTAATGCTGTTTTCTCTAATAGCTGAATTCATGGCTGTACAGACCAAGGAGTGAATCTTCTCATCATAATCATCAATAACCCAAATTGTGGAATTTGGGCTTCCCATTCCTATAGCCTTGGGCTCTGCCAGTTAGGAGCCCTAGTTCTCATGGGGGAGTTGCTTCCATCAGGGAATACAGTACCAGTTCCATTGAACTTGAAGCTGTGACTACCACCTGACTGCTTTGGAGCCCTCATGCCAGTGAACCAACGGAATGTAAATAGAAAACAAGGGCTTACTAGACTAGTTGGGTCATTGATTGACCATGATACCATGAGGGCTAGAATATGCCACCAGGAAGGAGGAGGTTTACAACCCAGAGGCCAAGAGGCTCAGCTCTTAGTACTTGGGCAGTTCTTAGTACTTCAGTGCGTTGCAGTAACTATGAATTGGAAACCACAGCAACCACAGCCAGATAAGACCACAAAAGGCTCAAACCCCTCAGAAATAGAGGTCTGGGTCATGCCACCAGACAAGCATCTCAGACCATCCAAAGTAATGCCATTGGACATTTGAAATGCATGGTCAGCTTTTTGTTTCTACTTTGTTTTTGCTATTTCCTACCTGTAGTCTCACTCTAGCCCTGTTTAGAAAGAACAGGGCAGGGAGAAGAGGGAAAAGGCCAAGCAACCTTCAAAATTGTCTCCCTGTCATAAGCCAGCTTTGCATCTCTGTAGGAAGTCTAAACTGACTCTTTCTCTAGTAAGGTTTCTCTTGGCTCTTCAAAAACCCTGCACTGTTGGTGCCCTTCCCAGGGCTCCATCCCAGAACAAGCATCTCCATTCCCTTTGGGAATCTAGTATTTCATACATCTGTCTACTTAGGTCTCATAGCCGCCATCCTGCTTCCACCAGCCC